CCTAGCGGGTGGAAACGCGGAGGACGGTGAAGATGAGGAGCTCCTCATGGAACCGATCCTCTAATGGGTCCACATATCGAAATTGCCCAGGTGAACCTGCATCACGCGGCGTCGGCCTCGGCCGTCATCGCGAGCAGGTTCACAGCGGACGGTCTGGGCATTCTACTGATCCAGGAGCCATGGATCTACAAAGGAGAGGTCAGGGGCCTCAAACTGGTGAACAGCAAGGTAATCTGGGATCCCTCATGCGAGAGACCCAGAACTTGTATAGTAATTAGGAACGATATTGATTACTTCTGTATTTCAGAGTTCCTAACACAAGACCTGGTCGCTGTGCAGGCAAAAGGTANAAGAAGGAAGACGACATACCGCCCATGCATAGCATGATAGTGTTCTTCTCCAGGTGCGCAGGTAAACCGTATGAGTTTGTTCTCGGGCTCATTTAGAACCAGAACGAGGGCCTTAGTATATCGGCCTGGCGAGTAGTCAGCAGCAAGGTCGAGGATGCAGGGTGGAGGCTCAACCTCTGCATCGAAAAGATGCAGTTGGATGAGGTTGCGACTCATCCAGGCACTAGATATATTGATATTGATTTCTTTTATATTTCAGAGTTCCTAACACAAGACCTGGTCGCTGTGCAGGCTAAAAGCAACGAAGGAGAGGACTTCGTCCTGGCAGCGGCCTATTTTCCGGAAGACACACCCACAGCACCCCCAGAGGCCGTCGGCAACCTTGTGGAATACTGCAGGAGGAATAACCTGCCCCTCGTCCTGGGATGCGACGTCAACGCCCATCACATGGAATGGGGCAGCACGGACTGCAATACACGGGGTGAGTCTGTACTTGAATTTATAGTCAGTAGGAATTTAAGTATTGAAAACGTGGGGTGCGAACCCACCTTTATTACCAGTGTAAGAAGGGAAGTGCTTGACGTCACCCTTGGTAACGAACTTACGACAGGGCTGATCGGGCAATGGAGAGTGTCATCGGAACCCTCCATGTCCGAACACCGTATCATAAGATTCGCACTAGGGGTAGAGGTCAGGCAGCTTCCTGCCAGGCGTTTCCCCACAAACACGGACTGGGCCACTTTTAGGGATACGCTTGAAATATCATGTCAATAGGAGGGGGCAGCTGGACGGCAGTGCTAATGCTTCTGGACTGGAGAGCAGGTTGTATGCACTAAACCAGTCCATTATAGGGGCATTTATTGGCAGCTGCCCCCTAAAAACGACTAACAACAACCGCAGCTGTTCCTGGTGGTCAATTAGGCTCTCAGAACTACGGAAAACGGTACACAAGCTATGTAATAAGGCCAAGCGTACCGGGTACTGGCAGAACTACAAGTGCAGCCTAACTGCTTACAACAAGGAGATTAGGTTAGCAAAGCAGAAGAGCTTTAGGAAGTTCTGTGAAAACATCTCCTTAACGCCAGAGGCTGCAAGGCTGCATAAGGCTCTGGCAAGAGGTAAGACGGACACAGTACTAGAAATTAAAAGATCGGATGGGACCTATACGTCCAGCGCAGAGGAAAGAACCACGGCTTTTCTAATCGCGCACTTCCCAGATAAAATTCAAGAAGACCAGATTCGACCCATGGTCGAACGAAAGCCATTTCACTTAGATTGGACAGTTGCAAAACAGCTCTTCACTGCAGACTCCATCAAGTGGGCTTGGGGTTTTTTTGAAAAATATAAGTCCCCGGGTGCGGATGGCATCCTTCCAGCGTTTCTGCAACAGGGGGAGCAGGTCCTACTGCCCCACCTTGTTCGGCGGATGAGGGATAGCCTAGCGCTGGCATATATCCCGGAACCTTGGCGAACTGCAAAGGTGATCTTCATACCAAAGGTAGGAAGAAAAGATTACTCATTGGCAAAATCCTTCAGGCCAATAAGTCTAACTTCCTTCCTACTTAAAAGTATGGAAAAGATCATTGATCACGAAATAAGATCGAAGGTGCTGAAGGCTGCACCACTGCACGCACACCAACATACTTACAGAGCGGGCAGATCAACCAATACTGCTTTGTATCAGCTAACCTAAGAGATCCGCTGATGGATTGAAGCCGTAATGCGCACCAGGATAGCTGAAACCACGATACCAAGATTTGTCTTGGCACAACAAGAGGCTGTCCACAGGGCGGAGTGCTATCCCCCCCTACTGTGGAGCCTAGTTGTGGACGATCTACTCGAGTTGATAACTAGCAATGAAATCCGCTGTCAGGGATAAGCGGACGATATTGTTATTTTAGCCAGGGGTAAGTTCGCAGACACTCTCTGCGATATTGTACAAAGGGGATTGGGGCTGGCAAAGGGATGGTGTAGTGGGGTTGGTCTAAACATCAACCCCTCAAAGACTACAATCATACCATTTACCAGGCGCAGGTTACTGCCAAGCCTCAGAAACCTATCCCTTAACTGCACGGAGCTAGAGAGGGCTAACACAGTCAAGTACCTGGGCCTTACGCTGGATTCCGCTCTACGGTGGAAGCAACATGTAGACCTGACATTAACAAAAACTACGAAAGCACCCATGGTGTGCAATCGACTTGCTGGGAAATCATGGGGCTGCAACCCGAGGATTATCAGATGGCTGTACACCATGATTGTGAGAACGATCATAACATATGGAGCGGTGGCTTGGGTTTCCAAAGCATCGCAGACTTCGATGGGACTTCAACTATCGAAGCTGCAACGACTTGCCTGCATTTGCGCGTGGGGCGCGATGCGTACGTGTCCGACCGCAGCACTGGAAGTAATGCTGGAGCTCACACCGTTACATATAGTGATCGAACAGACGGCCAAACAAACCCTGTGTCAAATGACAGCAGAAGGGTTTGGCAAAGGGAAGGTAATCTCGTCCCAACAGATGAAGGCCCTAAGTGACGAAATGCCACTAGCCCTTCTTCCAAGGGACAGCATTACCAAAGCAGTAAGCTTCACTAGGAAGTTCAGAGTTACCCTTGGCAGTAAGGTGGAATGGAATGATTCCACGCTGGACCTCCTGCTAACGAATAGCACTATCAAGTGGTACACCGATAGCTCGAAAACGGCGGAGGGAATTGGTGCAGGGGTCGCAGGACCACGCACCAAGCTCTCCATTCCAATGGGAAGCTTTCCTAGCATTTTCCAGGCGGAAGTATATGCTATAAGTCGGTGTGTAGAGATAAACCTCCGACGCAACTATCGCAATAAGAGTATCGGCATACTCAGCGATAGTTAGGCGGCACTAAAAACGATCTCGGTTTTTGAGGTCAAATCGCTACTAGAACGGCTGAACAGTCTATCAAGCCACAATAGAGTGCACCTCATCTGAGTGCCTGGTCACAGGGGTATAGCAGGAAATGAACTGGCTGACGAATTGGCCCGCTATGCAGCCTCCACAAAAATGGTAGGACCAGAACCGTATATAGCGGTTGGTCCACATACCATTAAAGAGCTGCTCCGTAAAGAGCAGGCAAGGAGAGACATTCTCAACATCTCCAAGGCATGCGCCATGCCAGGTTGCTGATGGAGGGTTATGACCTCAGACGGTTTAAAAGCATAATCAATCTCCCGATAAAAAAATTCCGGCTACTTGTCGCGTTCTACACCGGACATTGCAGGACAGGTTCTGTGACATGGAGTCGGAGACTTTCCTAACAGGGATCGCATCGCCTCACTATCACCTAGCAGTATATTGAATTTCATTAATATGCTGGGGCTAGATGAGTCGCTGTGTCCTAGGTGCAAACCTCTACCCTTATCTATCTATCTATCTAAGGAGCTAGCCAGCTGGATGCCGAAGAGGACAGACACTGGAACAAACGCACAGTTTTTATATCAGTTATAATATTATTTTATATATGTAAATCCGTTTGTACTAATATAAAAAACGATTGTCAAACTGGTATAGATCACGGTAAAAATCGAAATACCGCTGACATTAAAACCAGTTTGGTACAATTTATATATCCAAATATATATTATGTAAATAATTATTGTATGCCTATAAGCTTACCTTTGTGTTTTCAAACACACATATTTTACAAACACAAAAAACAAAAACAGAATTCAGGTATTTACTTGCAAGTATTTTCCTGCAATACCCCTTATTTTTAACAAAAACAGTAAGCAGGATTACCTAAAATAAGTAAGCAAAGGCACAAACATATAACAAAAATTTAAGGACAAAGAAAGAGAAACAAAATAAATACAAACGACATATTTAAATATTTACTAAACCAAATTACATATTTACATCCATATAAGTGCATACGTAGAATACCTGTACATTATCAAATCTTTTCTCGCGCTCTCTCTTCGTATTGCGAACATACGAACGAATGTTTACATAAACTCATACTAGAATTTGCCTATCTCTTGTTACTCTACACTGCGAATAATTAAATTAATATTTAAAATAGTTTCTAAAAGTATACACTTTAAATTCGCAAGTAATTTAACAGCAGTAAAGTGAAAACGAATTCACTGAATTAAAATTATCAAAAACAAAATACAAAAAAAAGAATTTAACCAACAACATACTTACATACATACATATGTATACATATATTGGTATATACAATTTTATATAAAATTTTCATAGTCCTCATAGGTAATTATCCGGCAATACCCCTTGTAACAATCAAGCAGGATTGCATTAGAAAATAAACATACATACACACAAACAATTCGTGCATACTTATGTACAAAGTGTATTGATCTCTGCAACGAGCTCTCAATTGCACAAGCACATAAATATCTACATACAAGTCCGTATATTAGGGTGTACCAAAATACTAATACTAAAAGTATTGTTAAATTAATTGTGCGATTCTTAATAATTAAATTAAGAAAATATAATTTATCATCGGGATAAATAATAAAAATATACGCAAGTACATACACAACGGTATTATTAACACTAAATACACGTTTTTAAACTATAATCCGAAATATCAAATCTTATTCACCTAAAAGAGTATTCGGCAAAAATTATCATTTATCGCTTCATATATTGTACACAAATCAGTTTACACTGAGAAAAATTTAATTCGTTTGCCAAATATTTTAACATACTAAAAAAATGATGAATGTGGATAAAAATCAAATTACAAATGCAGAAGCTACACGCGTAAGGCAGGTTACCACAAAGCAAATAAAAGGCGAAGATATTTGTGCCACCATATTCATTTCTGAGAGTGACAGATCAACACGATACTGCACTCGATTTTCATCTTCATCGATTCAAAACAACACTGAATCGTTATTGGAAATAAAAAAAAACAAAATATTGACAATTTTTGGACTCATCTCCAAACGGTTCATGACGCCATAGTAGATTATGACGATTCACATCTACTACACAATTTTAAATCATCGGCTTACGCAATATACGAAAACTGCTTAGACCAGTACGAAGAAACAAAAGCTATGATTTCTGACCAATTAAAGCTAATAAAAGCGATTGCACCTACTCCACATCAGAGAGTAGAGCTGCCACAAATTCAAAGTCAAGAGGCAAGTTCAGGCATCCATCTCGAGGTGCCCGCATGTGACACAGAAATATTTTATGGAGGTTATGAAGAATGGCCGTCCTTCCGAGACATGTTCACTGCCGTATACATCAACCATCCAAAATTATCAAAAGCGAAAAATTGTATTACCTCCGATAAAAAAAACTAAGGTCAAGCAGGCGCAATAGTAACAGTTCGCAGCAAATGACGACAATTTTAATTTGGCTTGGGAAGCTCTAACATCTAGATATGAAAATGAAAGAATATTGGTGAATAAACAAGTAACGACACTAATAAACTTGCCTAAAATTCAAAAAGAAACAAGTTAGGAATT